GAGGCTACTATGGCCCGATTCCTACATGGGCTAAATAGTGATATAAGAGATGTTGTGGAGCTACAAAATTATGTTGAGTTGGAGGATTTAGTACATCAATCTTCTAAGATGGAACAACAATTAAAGAGAAAGGATGTCATGAGGAGGAGTTCATCTAATTTTCACTCTCCTAGTTGGAAGGACAAAAATAAGAAGGAGGGAGGATCATCAACAAGCAATCCCAATGTTATAGCTCACAAAACTCAAAATAAGTTTGATGAGACACTTAAGAAAATAAGGAGTAGTGAGGTTAAGTGCTTCAAATGTTTGGGAAGAGGTCACATAGTTTCTCAATGTGCCACTAAGAAGACTATGTTACTTAAGGAGGATGGGGAAATAATTAGTGAATCTTCTTGAGATTCTTCATCTAGTGATGAAAATGAGCATGAAGATGAAAGAGAGTTAGAAGGAGATCTGTTCATGATTAGAAGGATATTGGGTAGTCAATCAGTTGAATTGGATGATTGTCAAAGAGAAAATATTTTTCATGCAATGTGTCTCATTCAAGGGAAGTTGTGCTCTTTAATCATTGATGGTGAGAGTTGCACTAACGTGGCTAGTGCACGGTTGGTTTCAAAAATGAATTTGGAGACTAAGTCACACCCGCGACCTTACAAACTTCAATGGCTTAGTGAAGATGGTGAGATGACTGTGAATAGACAAGTTGAAGTGGGTTTTTCCATAGGAAAATATGAAGATTCTATTTTGTGTGATGTGGTGCCTATGGAGGCTTGTCATTTACTTCTTGGGAGACCATGGTAGTATGATAGAAGAGCTATGCATGATGGTTTCACTAATAAATTCTCTTTTATGCATAAAGACCGCAAAACTACTCTTGCACCTTTGGTTCCAAGAGAAGTTAGTGAGGATCAACTGAAAATGAGAAAGAAAAGAAAAGAAGAAAGAAAAGAAAAAGAGAGAGAAAAGAGAAAAGAAAAAGAGTGAAAAGAAAAAGGAAAAAGAGGAAGAAAAAGAGAAAGAGAGAAAAAAATCAAATTTGTTTATAAAAGAAAAAGAAGTTAAAAGAGTTATGCAATTGAGAAAGCCAATACTTTTACTTTTGAGTAAAGAAAGTAAATCAAATGGTCCATGTTTTACTAACTCTCTTCCAAAAGAGGTTTCTTCTTTGTTGCAGGATTTTGAAGATGTTTTTCCCAAAGTACCTATAGGTCTACCCCCTCTTAGGGGTATTGAGCATCAAATTGACCTTATTCCAGGAGCTTCATTGCCTAATAGACCAGCCTATCGAAGCAATCCCCAAGAAACCAAGGAGATTCAAAAGCAAATTGAAGACTTAATGCAAAATGGGTGGGTTAAAGAAAGCTTGAGTCCATGTGCAGTCCCAGTCATTCTAGTCCCTAAGAAAGATGGAACTTGAAGGATGTGCACAGATTGTAGAACTATCAATAACATCACGGTAAAGTATAGACATCCCATTCCTAGGTTAGATGACTTGTTGGATGAATTGTATGGTGCTTGTTTCTTCTCTAAAATTGACTTGAAAAGTGAATATCATCAAATTAGAATTAGAGAAGGAGATGAGTGGAAAATAACTTTTAAAACTAAATATGGGTTGTATGAGTGGCTAGTTATGCCCTTTGGGTTAACTAATGCTCTAAACACTTTTATGAGATTGATGAACCATGTCTTGAAAGAGTTTTTAGGCAAATGTGTAGTAGTGTATTTTGATGATATTCTGATATATAACACTAATTTTGATTTGCATGTTGAACATTTGCGTGCTGTCATGAATGTGCTTAGAAAGGAAAAATTATTTGCTAATCTTGAAAAATGTACCTTTTGCACTGATCATGTTGTGTTCTTGGGATTTGTTGTGAGTTCTAAAGGGGTACAAGTTGATGAGGAAAAGATTAGAGTCATCCAAGAGTGGCCTACCCCTAAGAATGTGAGTGAAGTGAGAAGCTTTCATGGGTTAGCTAGTTTCTATAGGAGGTTTGTTAAAGACTTTAGTACTTTGGCTGCACCTCTTAATGAAATAGTCAAAAAGCATGTTGGGTTTAAATGGGGTGAAAAACAAGAAAAGACATTTTCTGAACTTAAGCACAAACTATCTAATGCCCTCATTCTTGCATTACCAAATTTTGCAAAATCTTTTGAAATTGAATGTGATGCATCTAATGTGGCTATTGGGGCTGTTTTGCTGCAAGAAGGTCATCCAATTGCTTATTTTAGGGAGAAGTTGAATTGGGGTGCCCTAAACTATCCCACCTATGATAAGGAATTGTATGCCTTAGTGCGTGCTTTACAAACTTGGCAGCATTATCTTTTACCAAAAGAGTTTGTAATTCATAGTGATCATGAATCTCTGAAATACTTAAAAGGACAAGGCATGTCAAATGGGTTGAGTTCTTGGAACAATTTCCATATGTCTTCAAGCATAAAAAGGGAAAAGGGAATGTAGTAGCTGATGCACTTTCTGGGAGACATGCATTACTTTTTATGCTTGAAACTAAATTGTTTGGTCTTGAATCTTTGAAAGATATGTATGTGAATGATGTGGATTTTGCTGAAACTTTTGCTGCATGTGAAATGTTTTCTAAAAATGGTTACTTTAGGCATAATGGATTCTTGTTTAAAGCAAATAAATTGTGTGTGCCTAAGTGTTCCATTAGAGAGTTGCTTGTGAGTGAATCACATAAAGGGGGTTTGATGGATCATTTTGGGGTTCAAAAGACTTTAGAAATTTTGCAAGAGCATTTCTTTTGGCCTCATATGAAACGTGATGTGAATAAGTTTTGTGATCACTGCATTGTGTGTAAAAAGGCTAAATCTAAGGTTAAGCCTCATTGGTTGTATACTCCTTTACCTGTTCCTCGAATATCCTTGACCGACATTTCTATGGACTTTATTTTAGGGCTGCCTAAAACAAAGAATGGAAATGATTCTGTGTTTGTTGTTGTTGATATGTTTTCTAAGATGGCACATTTCATACCTTGCAAGAAGGTAGATGATGCTTGTCATGTGACTGATTTGTTTTTCAAGGAAGTAGTAAGGCTACATGGGCTGCCGAGGAACATTGTGAGTGATAGGGATTCAAAATTCCTTAGTCACTTTTGGAGGACCTTGTGGGGTAAGATTGATACTAAATTATTGTTTTCTACTACATGTCACCCAAAAATTGATGGTCAAACTGTGGTAGTCAACAAGACTTTAGGTACATTGCTTAGGACAATTTTAAAGAAAAATCTTAAGACTTGGGAAGCATGTTTACCACATGTTGAGTTTGCTTATAATAGGGTTATCCATAGCACCACTAATTGTTCACCATTTGAGATTGTGTATGGATTTAATCCTTTGACTCCTCTTGATTTGTTGTCTCTACCTAACATTTCTATGTTTAAGCATAAGGAAGCACAGGCTAAAGCAGAATATGTGAAGAAGTTGCATGAGCAAGTAAAAGCTCAAATTGAAAAGAAGAATGAGAGTTACGTGAGGCAAACTAACAAGGGTAGGAAAAAGGTGGTGTTCCAACCTAGTGATTGGGTTTGGGTACACATGAGAAAGGAAAAGTTTCCTGAACAAAGAAAGTCTAAACTTTAACCTAGAGGAGATGGGTCATTCCAAGTCTTAGAGAATATCAATGATAATGCTTATAAGATTGATCTACCAGGAGAGTATAATATAAGTTCCTCTTTTAATGTTGTTGACTTGACTCCTTTTGATGTAGGAGATGAATTCATAAATTTGAGGACAAATGTTGTCCAAGAAGGAGGGAATAATGTGGAGATAAAGGCCTAAGCCCATAACGAGAAGGATCAAGATCAAGATCCAATCCAAGACTTAGGTGGACCTATGACAAGAGGCAGACTCAGAAAAATACAAGACGCATTGCAATATAAAGTGACCAATTTGCTAAAGGTCGAACTATTAAAATATCCAAACATGGAGGAGTCTAGACCTATCACATGCATAAAATGTTTGGAGAGCTAGGAGGCCCAACTAAAAGATTTAGTTATTATTATTATTATTTTATTTGCTACAATGGGGATTTGAACCCAAGACCCAAAGCTTATAATGCCTTCACTGAACCATCTGAGCAACTTAACTTTGCTTGGGATATTAGGATTTTAATTTATCTTTATTTCCCGCAATGAGACAAACTCATAAACTTAAGTTGTATTAAACATTTGGAAATTGAGAATGAACGTACGTAATATTCATAATCACTTTGTGAGTTGTTACTCTGCTAGGGTTCTTCCTTGCATCACTTGATCTTATCAAGAATTATTCGATTCTTGTGGCGATCATTTTGGCTTATCAAATATTCTTATTTGTGGCGCCTACGGTATCCTTTATTTTTTTTCTGTTTTCTATTTTCAATCAAATCAACTCTTAAAACCTAACCCAAAATCGTTTCCCTTCTATTCGAGTGTCGTCAACAAATGAACTGATAATTTTTGTTAGTTATGCAGCGTAAACTCACAACATTCCTTACCTCTGATTTCATGCACACATACATATGATACAATGATAATGAAAAGCAATAGGATCAAGATGGTCACTCCACAAGAGTATGATGTCACAAGCAATGATCACACTAAAATACTTTAAGAGGAGATCTTGCAAGAATAAAGAAGAATAAAAAGTATTATTGATGAAGAATTACTTATCTTTAAGTTGTAATATTCAACATGATTTCAGAGCTAAAATCTAACTTTTTTCTAGTTATTGTCTTCGGTCAAAAATTGTCATTTTCTTGTGGGTCAAAAGTACTCTTTGCCTAGTCCGGCAGACTTTGTTGGAATGAGTGTGTTAGAGGTCTCACACTGTCGGTCTCATGTTATTTAATATGATTTAAATACTTGTTAGATTATTCAACATATTGTCAATTAATTTTATGTTGGAATCTTAAAAGTTTTGTTAGCGTTAAAATTAATTTTAAATCAATTTTGTTCATTCCTATGTGTGAAAATAGTAACCGACTAAGTATGATTTCAATCATGGGAGGTAGGGGTTTTTGAACCCATTCATACCTATAAATAGGTGTCTTCCCTCTCTTCCAAAACACACACTTTACTCATTCATCAATTCTTCTCTCTTTTCTTTTCTCATTTAATGGGTTTTCTATTCTTTTTAAATTATTTCTTACTAGTTCTGAGTTATTCGAAAAGTATACCATAAATTTCTATTATATCCTAAGGGACTTGTGCAATACAACGTGAATAAATCCTTAAGGATAATAATTATATATGTCTTAAAATCAAAATTTTATTTGTATTTTTGTTAACTTATATAACATTGTGAGGACTAGTATTATATAAAATAATGTTTATTTTGGCGTTTGAAATTGATTCTAATTATAGTTTTACTTTTTAAAATAATTTTCCATTAATTAAAAAAAGAATGTTTTAATTTATTCTAATATTTTAAATTATTTGTATACACTTTTTTTTAATCACCAAAATATTTGGAAAGAACAAAAGAATGAAAAAGAAAACAAATTTAAAGGTAATGTGAAAATAATAGTAAAATAAATTTAAATATATATCCAATCATAATAAAGTATTTAAAGTTCAGCCTATTCAAATTGATTATTTCAATCTCAAAAAGTAATGTCCAAATATTATGTTTGTTCCTATTGGAGAAGATGGAGAGCACTTGAGATATGAAAATTCCATTCATTGGTTTCAAAGATTGCACTTGATGATGACTAATACGAAAGGTCCCCACGCATGCATGCATGCACTATTTGATCCCTAAACAAACAACTCTATCATTTCATTGGTTTTTTCTTACTTTTTCCGTAAATAATCAACTAAATTATCGAGGCATTATCCATCCAATACTTGAATTAACGATATTTTTTATTTGTTCTTTAAACATGTAAAGAATAAAGATTGATATGTGATTTCGGAAAATGTTTTCACAAAACTTAATAACAATGTAATTGCCATCTTTTTTATATATA